TTATTTATTATTTTTATTTTATGTGTATGAGTGTACTGCCTGCACGTAAGTAAGTGTACCAGTGTCATGCAATACCATGGAGGTCAGAAGAGGGCTTCGGATTCCCCTGGAAATGGAGTTAAGGACAGTTTGTAGCCACCATGTGGGTGCTGAGAATTGAACCCAGGTCCTCTGCAAGAGCAGTCAGTGCTCTTAACTGCTGAGGACCATCTCTCTAGCCCCTACAATGAAAATTTTAAATCTTTAAAGAAAGAGATTCAGGAAGACATAAGAAGATGGAAGGACCTTCCATGCTTATGGATTGGAAGAATTAATATTGTAAAAATGACCATCCTACCAATTGATAGATTGAGAGATTCAATGCAATGCCAATCAAAATCCTCATGACATTATTCAGAGTTGGAAAAAAAAAAACATTCTAAGATTCATATGGAAGCACAAAGAACCTCAGATAGCCAAAGCAACCCTGAGCACTAAGAGCAATGCTGGGTGATTATTATTCCAGATTTTAAACTGTATTACAGAGCTACAGTCATAAACACAACATGGTACTGGCACAAAAATAGACCCGTAGATCAATGGAACAAAATTGAAGACCCAAATCTGAGTACATGCAATTTCAGCCACCTGATATGTGACAAAGGGGCCAAGAACATTCACTGGAGGAAAGACAGCATGTTCAGCAAATGGTGCTGGCAAAACTGGATCTCCACCTGTAGAAGAATGAAACTAAACCCCTATTTCTCACCTTGCACAAAAGTCAGTTCCAAATGTATCAAAGATCTCAATGTGAACGTTGAAACTCTGAAACTGTTAGAAGAAAACACTTGCAATAACCTACAAGATATAGGTGTAGAAAATGATTTTCTAAACTTAACATCAATTGCTCTGGAAACAAGGTCAAGAATCAACAAATGGGACCTCATTAAGCTAAAAAGCTTTTGTACATCAAAAGAAGCAACCAAGGAAGTGAAGAGAAAACCCACAGAATGGGAGAAAATATTCACCAGGAACACATCTGATAGAGATTTAACATCCATAACGAAGTCAAAAAACAAAGAATCAAGAAAGGAAGTAACTCAGGTAAAAAATGGGCTAAGGAGCTGAACAGAGAGTTCTCAAAAGAAGAAATAACGATGGCTAAGAAGCATCTTAAAAGGTGTTCAACATCATTAATAATTAGGGAACTTCAAATTAAAACCACTTTAAGATTTCATCTTACTCCAGTCAGACTGACTAAGATCAAGACAACAAATGATACCAAATGTTGGAGAGGATGTGAGGAAAGGGGAATGCTCATCCACTGCTGGTGGGATTGCAAACTCGTTCAACCCCTATGGAAAGCAGTGTGGAGAACTCTTAAAAAACTACAAATGTTCTCCCTCATATATAGCACCAAATCCTTATAAGTGAGTATGTATCCAGACATAACAACAGGAACCAGGAACCAGGATAATAAAAAGGAACCAGGGAGGTAAAGGAAAAGAAAGAATTTGAAAGAGAAGAAGAGTAGGAAACAGGCCTTAATAAGGGAGATATGGATAAAAATGGGGTTATTTTAAGGTGGGGGGAAGGAGGATTATACAAGGAACCTTGGGGATAAAGGGAAAGAAGGAGGTCAAGAGAGGTTGGGACCATAGTATTATAAAGGGAGAAATGGGAAAAATGGGGGCACTTTAAATAGGGAAACCACGGTGGAAGGGTTAGACAATTTGAGAGATAAATAATGCCTAGCTTGTTTTAAAAAACCAGAGGTGGGGCTGGAGAGATGGTTCAGCAGTTAAGAATACTGGTCTTGGGGCTGGAGAGATGGCTCAGCGGTTAAGAACACTGACTGTTCTGCATGGGTTCGAATCCCAGCACCCACATGGCAGATAACAACTGTCTGTAACTCCAGTTCCAGGGGATGACAGCCTCTTCTGCCCTCCATGGGCATTGCACAATATGGGTGCACTCACCTACATGCAGGCAATACATGCATACACATAAAAATAATAAAATTTTTAAAAAACCAGAAGGAACCATATTAATTGAACTTACTGACAAATTATACCTACAACTATCTCAATAAATATAATACATATCTAGGCAAGGTTTATCTGAGAAATGTTTGGTCTTTGCCCAAGATTTATCTACATAGCGCATGGTAATTAAAAGTACCAGACTGGTGGAACTAACCTTATTAGATATTTAACAGCCATACTTTGAGGCCTATACTAATTTGGTCAGAGGGACATAAAGGACAGTTTTTAAAGAGGAGGGTCAACACAGAGGAAACATTTTCTCCATGCTTCCAAGTGAAGCCAGCCATGGTTGAGCAGGATCTTTGACTTATCTTCACATAGATGGAACTGGTAAAAGAAAGGAGCCAGGGGCTCCTCCCAAGCCCATGTGACCCATGAGGAACAGATCCTCAAAGGACCTTAAGAATAAAAATAAATTGGTTTATCTGGGCCAACTGTATGGTCTTAAACACCCAAAAGGAAAGTATAACCAAAGATTAAAGGGATCAATATAATTCTTTAAGAGTCCATGCGTATAGCTAAAAGCTACATAATAAGAAACAATGCCAGACAGGAGATATCTTCCTTTGAGTTATTGGCCAGGGTGGCCCAAAAGAGTCCCAGAACAGAACTGGAAAAATGAACAGCAGACTCCAGTCTTATCTAAAGGAATATTGACAACTGATTGCTGCTAGATGAGGAACAGCCGATCTTCCTAAAAGAAGGCTCTCTAGATAAGCTGACTAGTGGGGAATGGCTGGGAGTACCAACAATACAGTGGCCAGTAACAGCGATGACAGAGTGTATGGCTCCAGTGGGAGGCAGGGGAAGACTATGGGAGGGTCCCATTTGGGATGTGGGTATATAGATGAGTAAGATTGTCTGGCATGTTCTGTATGAAATACACACAGAAAAATCAACAAATAAAAAAATGACATATTTGAGGAAGAACCCTGAAAAAAAAAAAAAAAGAACCACACCAGTCTGAACAGTACCCTTCCTCTGGGGTTGAGGCAGGTGGAAGTGGGAGCCAGGTAGGTCTATCAGTCAGGATGGAGTAGGCGCCAGCATTGTAACAAACAGCCCCCAATTGTGAGACAGTTTTTACATATCTTTGTAAGTGTGCACATTTACTTGTGTGCATACATGTGAAGGCCAAGGTGAGCGATGACTGTGATTCCTTAGAAGCCGTTCACCTTGTTTCTTGAGACAGGTTTCCCTCTGGCCTGGAATTTGTCCACTAGTTTAGGCTGGCTGGCCATCGAGCCCCACGGATCTACCTGTCTTTACCTCCCCAGTGCTGGGATTGGCATTCAGCTTTTTGTATGGGTTCTGGAGTACTGAACTCAGGCCCTCATACTTGCACATCCAGAACTTTACTGACTGA